TATAAATCTTAAGTTTTAGATATTATAAAATTTCTATAATTTTTGTTTTAAATTATGGAATTTAAGAAATATTTCAATTGTATCCTATTATTATTCAAATTGAAATAAAAAAGTTCACTATATAGAATATTTCAATGATAATCTTGTAAATAACTTTGATCGATCATTTTCAATAATAATAACAAATAAATTAAATTACAAATTAATCTATTTATTTGTTGTCATTGTCTAAAATAACATGAATTTTCTAAACACGTTTCATGAATTTTATATAGAAAAAGGAACTCAAGAAATAATATAAATATGAAAATATAATTTACGAACGTGACCTTAATTCATATTTCTTTATTTTTCAAAAATATAAGTCGGTGGATTAATCAGAAGAACTATTAAGGATTATTGTTTGTGCTTAAAGAATTTTTTGTTGTGTACTGGGTGTGCTAGCAAAACAAGTTTTATAATTCTTCTACCTCGTAACTTATTCGTGTGTTGTTGTGTTGAAGAATATATTTAAAATAAAAATGCGGAGTCGCAGTCGCAGAATTGTTAAGACAATATGCAATGTAGGCTCCAGGGTAATCAAAAGCCCGTAGCAGAAGCTGGTGACTAAAAAAATCGAATAAAGGATTGGTACATCTAGCACGAAGGGGAAAATGAGGGCAAACGAAGTGGGTACCTAAAGAAGACAAATAGGTCGAAGTATAGTACCATTCCACAGAAAAAAAGGAGTGAAAGGCTCCCCTTCGTTGGAAGGATATACGAAGCCGGTTGCGGTCATCGATGAAGAGACGATACGCTTTTCTATAATATATATATCCCAGTCAGTGGAAAGAAAATCATTTTTAAGAGAGCGGAATGGGTCGAGGGTACAAGATTGTTGCTTCTTCCAACGCCGCATCTAGTGATTTTTTCAGGAGTGTTCTATCGAGGTGTGATATGGTATCTGGGAGGAAGTTAGAGTAAGCGCCGTTCTGTAAAACTTTTTACTTGTTCTCAAATTAATTGTTTTCGAAGTTTGAGCAGTAAGCGAATTTGAAATAAACTTTAACTGAGATTTATGTTTAAATTACAAGTTCGTTATAGGTGTTATAGTTAAGAATCACATACGTTTATTATTACAACAGTTGACTCCAAAATTATACTTATATAATGTACACATACGATAGATTTTCAAAATTTAAAATATCATACATATATATATATGTAAGTGCCAGCTTTGTACGAAATTGACAAGTTTACAATAGCTACAAATTAAATTATTGTTTTTCCTTCATGTTTTTACTGATAGAAGTACAAATTTTTAAATACATTGATAATAAATAAAATTATTTTTTTAAGTTTTTTTCTATTACCAATTTTCATATTATAACTACTCTATAGATAGAAATCAAAGTTAATTTTGGTAAGGTAAAAATGTACCAAATTATTTGATTTATTAAAAAAAAAACACAATATAAAAAAGAAAATCTAGTTAAAAAAGGTAAAATTATTGGTTTTTTTTTTGAGGAAAAATTTGTTATTCTTGAAAATGAAAAAGGAATAAAAATAATAAGGGACTGAAAGTTATTTTTGCAAATCTAATTATATACCCTTATCAAATAGCTATGGAAAATTAAAAAAAAAAGTGAAAAATTCGCTGTGTTATGCGTTTGGCAATATTTTTTTGAACAAGTTTTTATTTAATTTTACCTTAATTAATGTTTCCCATTTCAGTGCGAATTACATATATGTGTATACATATTGTATATTACTCGAATTTATTACACCCCAATAGGAAATTAGAAAATGATTGGTTGCCCATTTTAAGTATCAGGTAATAGGCTACATGACATATAACATAAATCTTTAAAAATTCGTTTAAATTACCTACTGATAATTTTTGTTAATTTTTGTTGATCGGATGAATTCGCTTACTTTTTCCATGTTAAACTAATAATTATTACTTTTTTGTCCATACTTTAATTATTATTGGGATTTACTACACTGATTTTTTTAAAACTTTTCCAAAAAAAATTTCGAAAAAAGTGTTTATTAGTGAAACTTTGTTTGTACGTCCGTCCATCTTTTTATGTAAAACTACTACTCTCATTAAGATAAAAAGCTTAAACTTTATATGTAAAAATATCTTCACTAGAAACTTGTGTTCTCTTTAAAGTCCTAAAAATGAAAAAAAAAATATTTCTCTTTAAAGTCCTCATTTCTGACTGGTTATTGCAACAAAAGCATAAACATTTTTCAATTTCTGCAAACAAAGAAAAGCAGTGGTTGGTTTTTTACCGCCAATCCGGCAATCGATATGTGGAATAATTATGCAATCGATGTGTGGACATATATAGTCGATAATAATCGATAATGTGGAATGCCGCTCGACAAGAATCTGACGGTCACCAAAAGGCCATCAGTAATTTATGCAAAAAAAAATTTATGAAATTGGCAGCCAATTGGCATTATTAATTATGCGACATTTCTTTTTTGCATTATTGATTACATTAAAAATGTAGACATCTGTTGACAATATTAAAAATTATAATGCTTTAACTACAATATCTATTAAGAATATGGAAATGACAAAATGGCCGTTAAAATTAACCGTTATGTGTCCTTTTTCTTCTAAACAATAATTGTAGAAGTTTAAAATTTTATTAACTTTTAGATATTAATAAATATTTTATTTTGTAAAAATCAATTTTTTTTCAGCTTCATCGACTTTTAGGTTATCGCTTCCCGAAATTTGTAAAATTTAAGTTTTCGGCATCATGTTTCCCTAACTCTAAGCTTTTCCAAATATATATAAATGCATAAGGCTAACAGTAAATACTATGTCATTAAAAAAAGTAATTATTTGTCTTAACTCACGCATTAATCTTTGAGTTCGATGATTATGTTAACGACTTCTTCACTTTTTTTGTGTCGTCCATTAGAGTATGCAAACATTTGTAATATTTTGATGTATGAATGAAAGTAATTTATATATGTAACGCAATGTACAATTAAAAACCGTATTTTCACTAGCTGAAGGGAAAACTGCTAGTTTACAAACTTTTGATTTGACCCAACTTTATTTGAAATAACAATCTTTATTTCAAAAACATAAATTTTTACAAGAGTAAAAGCTATTCGTTGTGTATACAAAATTCTTTTTTTCTTTTGAATAAACTCATATTTATTTTGTGATTGTTTTTTTCTTTGGTTTAACATAAAAATTAATTTACCGTTATATTACATATTTTACTATTTCAATAACATAGTTTGGAAAAGGTTTTAGGGTTACAAAATTAGTTTTTAATATTTTTCATGTTAAATAAATAGAATTCGCAGAAATTTTTGGAATATTAAATTTAATGGTTTTGTGATAAATTAAATTGAATTTTCCATATAAATTTTTAATAGACTTTAATGATTGGAGATGACAACAGAAATATTTTTTCACTAAAAGAAAAAAAATTAAACCATGTTATATTTGGAGGAATAAACAGTCTTTGGAAAATAATGCATTGAACGTTAAGTTTATGCTTCATTTGTATTCTGTTTGCTTGTATGCCGTAATTATCTACATATTCTTGTAGAAGAGATAATTTTCCTGGTAAGCTTGCATATCTGTATAGCTGTAAGACACATTTTCAGTTTACAGATTTTACGGATTGAGTTGATTTATATAACGATGAAAAATTTGTAACAATCTCGTAGACTCCTTGTCGTCTTTCTCTATTTTTGATAGACCCCCTGTTACTTTCTGTGATAGATGTAAATTTCTAATAGTAGCAAGGTATACCTATATGATGTGAGAAAGTTAAATAAAAAACTAATTTAATTCATATTTTTTCTTGGACCCCTAGCAGGTCTTCATGGACCTCTGGGGGTATATATACACTTTGGGAATCACTGGCTTAGACCAATAACTATTTTATATTAAAAAAACCAGTAACTTTAAATCTAATTTTCTTGGCGGCCAACAAGGATGATTTTGTTAGATAGTCAATTTGTAAAATTTTACATCCTATAGATAAATTGCTTTTTTGTCTGATGTTATTGATATGCATTTCATTCTTTTATGGACTACAAAAGAATCGGTTAGTATAGCTTGACGACTCAAAGTTTAGAAAAACGGCTTCTCGTTCTTCAAAAAAATTTTCAAGGAAATAAGAATAATTTATGTGGGCCTCCCTGACTGAACGCTCCCTTTGCCGTATGCGAATAATTTTAGAAATAATTTATTATGCTAAAACTGATAATGAAAAAAGAACCCATCACTACACGCAAGATCAAAATATTATTTTCCGAACTCTCCGAACTTTCGAAAATATATTCCGAGTTTTCCTATTGGAAAACCCGTTATATTAGTTTTATTATGAATAATACACAACTAAATTCATAATAAATATTCTGAATCATTTTAGAAGTTATAAATTAAAATCTGCATAAGTTTTTTGTTAAACGAACGTACGTTTTGTGTTATACATTAATTTCTTAAATTTATGAGAATTCCTTTGAAGTTTTTTCTCTTTAATTTAACCATAAATTAAATATGTTCATTCTCAGAAAATGTAATTGAAAAAATCCAAATACGAGTATTGTGGCACAAAGAAATAAAAATTAACGTATTATATTGGATAAATTCATGATATACATACACGGATATTCGAAAATTGGTCCCGTCAATTGTGGAATACTAAAATGGATTATAGGCATTTTTCCTTGTATTTTATTGTAATTCACGTTAAAGTTATGTTCAATATTTGATATATGCTCAAATGTTTTGAAAAATGTTATGACATCTAATGTAAGGTCTCTCTAATTGGGCAGTCATATGGACAGACATAGCGCAATCGAGTCAGAATTCGATACTTTGCCAAAACATGTATATGAACTATCTCTGATTTTTTATTGTAGCAAACAAACTATTAATCCTATAACACATAACCAATAAATATATGTAATTGGTACGAGTAAAAATGAATTTGAGAGAAATGACAAAAAAGCTATATACTCGTATAACTTACCTTAAATTCAGATGAATTCCAAAATTTGCAATATTCTAATTTGTCTCTTATTAGTGGTAATTCATAATTTTGTTGCTGTTGTAATATAAATGATGATGATGATATTAATGATGGTGATGTTGCTGTTGATAATGATATAGTTGCTGTTGTTGATGATACTGATGGCGATAAATATAAGGACGGTTCATTAATGAAATTATCATCATTAACATTATCAATATAATTATTTTTATTATAATTATTATTATCTTGAATATCATTATTATTATTGTTATTTTTAATGTTATTATTAATTATATTATCATTAGATTGTATAATTGTTGATTTTTTCATATCATAAGGTTTTGTTAATTTGTATAAATTCGAATTTTTATTTATATTATTTGTCATCTCTTCATTTTCATTTTTTTTAAAATTATTTTTTAATATTTGATTATTCGGTTGTAATAATTCACTTGATATTGGTGAAAATTTTGGTTGTTGATATTCTTGAAATTCTTTTCTAATATTAAATATTGATAATATATTACCTTTATTATTATAGTTATTATTATTATTTAAATTATTATTATTATTAATATTAATATTATTCAATGATGATATAGTTGATGATTGTTCCTGCTGAGAGTCTTTTTTTATTAACTTTTGATTATAATATTCTTGATTATTATTTTGTAAAAAACATTTTACATTTAATGGTAAATTAAATAAATAAAAAATTAATATAAAATATATAATTATTTTAAAAAAATTAAATTTTAATTTAATAGACATGAAATTTCTTATATTTATATTATAATTATGAATTTTTTCATTAAATTTTTGATTAAAATTATTATTATGATTAAAATTTGATTTATAAATTGTGTAAAAGTAAATGTTTTTCATATTTTCGATGAATTATTATTAATATGCGAATATAATAATTGTATAATATGAATGGCATATTGTTATATGTATTCAGTAATTATTGAAAAATATAAGTTTTATATATTGTTATATGATTTCTTTTTGTTGATTATAACTAAAATTTTTTCAATACAAAATTTAAATTCAATTTTAAATCACAAAATTTCGAAATATCTATAGAAAATTGTTGAAAAGCATTATATAAAATGCATGTGTACATATGTATATAGAAAATGAATTTATATCCTTTTTTGGTTTTCAATTTGATTTCTATAAATTTAATATATTATTATCATTAATGAAAGTATATATCATTATTGTACGCGTATAAAGTCTATGAATCTTTCATTACTATATTCTTTTAATGTCTGATGAACCTTGGAACAGGATATATAATCAATTTATGTTATTAAACTAGACATCTATCGGTAGGTACATGTGTTTTTAACGTATATACGATTATTTGAAAATTTACAATTATACTTGAATTTCATCTAGAAAATATTTTCATTCGTTGTGATTTTATGCGTCGATCTTTTTTTCTTTATAGCTAGCTACTTATTATAAATAAACTTTGGGGTTGTTGAGGGTGTATCTTAAATTGTTATGTATTATTTATTTCATTCTCGTTTTCCTTTCCATATTATGTCCACTGAAAGAGAAATAAATAAGAAAATTAATTTTAGAACTTTCTATGCATATTTTGAATAATTTAATAATTGTTATACATAATATATGCCAGAAATAATAATTGAATTAGTAGTTTTCCTTAAATTCGCGATATTAAGCACGTTACGAGTTAATGGAACAAAATCCAGATGTAAAATGCTAAAAATGTTGACGAACGAAATTTATTTAATATAGATTGAAATCTAAATCCTAAATGATATGATTATAATATTGTTGTTTCAAAATTTATTAGGAAAATTAAGAAAAAAACAGTAATAACTCACCAGAAAGCAATCAAAAAGAATTAATATAAATATTGAACCTATTTTGTAAAAACTAAAAATGATTTAATTTAACATAAAAGGTCAAGACGCGCTATTTTTTATAAATAATATTATGAATGAATATTGAGAATATGAAGCCATTTTTCTTGAAATCTACAAAAAAAAATTATATTTTTTTAAACATGTGAGTATTGAATTAACTACATAGCTATATATTAAGTTGACTTTCGGTTCTAACTTCAAATTTCATTATATTAAGGAAATTATAAACATAGTACTTAATTCTAATGCAAACTGGAATTTAATTTTTCGAATTTCTATTCAAAATTTTCTTTTAAAAAAAAAATTTTTTTTTTCCATAAATCATGAAAGACAATTTTAATGATGTTGAATTAGTGTCCTGACAACTTTATCTATATATTGTACAAACAAAATTTTATTACATTGTTGCAAATTATTGTTCATTAACATGTATGACACTCCCTCATATACAATATCGTAAAGTGAGATATGAAAATATTTTTTTAATATAGTTTTTATAAGATTAATTCAACGTAGTCCAAACTTATACTTAATGCAATTTTCATTATAGTACGCAAGCATTTGAGCAAATTTATTCTAGTATTTTATATCCATTGAAATTTGAATGGATATAAAATGAAGTAATTTTCTATTTCGCTTTTTTTTTTTATCTTTTTACTGACCCCATTACATGCAATAAGGGAGATTATGTGATGGCACCAGCTTTTCCATCCGTGTCGGTGTCTTAAGCTGTGTGGGAACGGATGTACCTCAAGTTCTGCTGAACCGATTTTGAAGAAATTTTATTTGTAAAATTATTTTGTCTATGTCACGGATTGATCAACTTTTGGGATATGTCAGATCATTTTTATATTTATATTTTTATGGACTGGTCTTGCATTTTTAATCATTTTTAAGAAAGTATGTGTAACAGATTTTCTTGGAATTTTATATATAAGATTCATTTGACTAAACGAGAAACTAGCTAACTTTTGGAAAGGAGCAGGTGTCAGCAAGTGATCTTTTATTTTAAATTTATTTTTTTGGGAATATAAAGAGAAATATATCAAACTTTGAAATTAAATATTTAAATTGGAGGTGTTAAAACAATGAACACATTGCATTCAGCTATGTGCTGACCACATCAGATTTTTTTTTTTGTTAAAATAAAGAAAATTTTTGTATAGACAACACGTAATCCTTAAAGTAAGATGAAAAAGATTGATCTAAACAATGTTGAAAATACAATGTTGAAAGAAAAATATTTATTTTAATAAAATAAATATTTAAGGCGCTTAGTGGCTATTTAAATTTTTCACAAGAATTTTAAATTAAAAGTTATTGAATAAGACGCTTGAGCATATTTTAGAGAATTGAATTATAGATGCATTACAAAAAAATTAATGTGAGACTTTGTTTTATTTTAAATAGAAGTTAATAAAAATGTAGTTCATAGGTTTGTTTTCTGAGGAATAGCAATTAGATATCAAACTTTAAAAAGTACTATGTGTGTTATGTACTTATACTTAGTGTTTTTTATTCCCCAACCATAGTGTAAGGTATGCTCAAATTCGTATCCAAAGTTAGTTTGTAACTAGTCGAAACCGTAAAATTCTGCATTTCTTATTTACCATAGATGACTGCTATAGTTATTTTACCAATTCGGGCAACGAATTCTACTTACAGATATTATTTTAAATAATTCAAAAACTAATAAAGATATTAATATGAAATTTATATTTTATGTTCAATTCAGAATTTTAATGGAATTTAAGTTGGTAGCACAAATAAATGAAGTGTCCTTTTGTAATGTTGTTTGTGTTTATGGACGTTCAAAATGAATACATTACAGCTACTAGAAAATTTTCTTACATTAAAAAATAACAATTAGAATTTGTAATTACCTTCAATATCTATGTCTTAACTGAATTTTGAATTTATTATTACATTTAAACCGATGACAGAATAAAAGTTTCAAAAATTTTAATTCAACGTACAGGTCGTCACGATTTGTTATATTTTTAACATTATTGTTTTTCACCGCTTTGTTTACTGTAAATAAACAACAGGTGCCTTAGAGGAAATGCAGCATCTGTTATTATTAGTATTATATTTGATTTTTTTTCCTCTGATATTATGAATAATTTTGTAACTTTTAAAGTATTTTACATAAAAATAGATGATAGATACGCAAGTATATGTATATATGAACTCTATAAATAGATACATACATATTTTGCGTAAAAAAAAAAAATTAACTTTTAAAAGGATATTTTTTTCCCTATTGCCGTTTCCCATGGAATTTAATTCTAAATACGTATATATGCTTCAAATATAATTATAGAATATGAAAAACTTATTCAATGTTAATTTAAAAATAATTAAAAGTAAAAAAAATTCAAAAAGTTTTAAGTGAAAGCAGCCGGCAAAATCATTTCAAAAAAGCAGAAATGACAAAAACATAAAAATAATTTCGTCATCATTATTAAAGTGAATTTTTCCAAAAAAAATTTGAAAAGGTGCTTATTATTTAAACCCTGCCAGTCCATCCGCCCATCCGTGGACATGTTTACAAAATTTCTACAACCTTTAAGACAGAAAGCTGAAATTTATATAAAACCTGGTTATACATCTAGGGTGTTTTCGCTTATGCACGCTGCACTGAAAGTTCTACATTAGAACTAAAATTTCTAAGTCGCAGCATTAAACAGTATGCAAAAACTTTATCTAAGTTTTTTTTTTTACAAATTCTGAAACTTCTAAATAATCAGTCGTTCGAAAATAACAGAAATGACGTTGTTTATGAAATTGTATCCCAATACTTTTCGCCTTCCAATTCACTGCAAAATAAGGAAATTTTAACAAGATTTGAAGACTTAAAGAAACTTACTTTGATAAGCATTCAATATCTGAATCTGCTATTTTCAAATTTTAAATTTTTTTTTGGATTTTAAATTTAGAAAAAAAAAAAATTTCCTGAGGCGGCGACAAAATTTATACTACAGATATACGCCACATGTATAACATTTCTTTATTGCAGATTGAATTTCCGAACGCACTTTATTGCAGCCAGTAAGTTCCGAACGATCTATATTTTCAGTGTATGTAGTGTGAATTTTCGAACGTACTACAAGCTAGAACTATTCTAGAACTGAATAAATAAAAACCCCCCTATTACATATAAATAGACCTTCACTGGAAATTTATTTTTGTACAAGAAAATTTTCCCTTTAAAAGTTATAGCCCCCCCAAAACCCTAAAAATGTCATTTTTGAACTATTTATTGTAAAAACATTTTTTAAATTCTGTAAACGCAGAAAAGTAGTGGTTGTACTTTAAAAAAAACAAAATTACCGTTAAAATTTACCGTTATCTAAAATCCGTTTTCAAATATTTGATGCCGTTTTCTCCTAGACCGCAGGTTGCAGAAGTCTGAAATAAGCACATTTT